GCCCCTCGGGTCTCTCCGAGGAGTCGCCATGACCATGACCGCGCTCCCAGGAGCGAGCCCAGGACCCTGACCCGAGCCGTCCTCTGTTTGCAGCCACCCCGTGCGCACCGTGGCTGGCAGCTCATCCAGGCCGTGGACTTCGGCCCCGCCTGCCCGCAGCCCGTGAGGTACACCGGCGCCGCCAAGGGCGTCCGCGACATGGACGAGGACTGCCTGTACCTGAACATCTACTCGCGCACGGTAAGTACAAGGCCACAGTGGTCCTCTCAGCATTACAAATTTCTTACCTTTCCTTACTTAAATTGTTTGTGTTGGTACGCAGACGGTGTCCGGGCTGGCACAAAAGTTCCCTGTGATGGTCTACATCCATGGCGGCGAGTACTACAAGGGTTCGTCCAACTCCTTCCCGGGGCACGTCTTGGCCGCGTTCTACGATGTGGTCGTCGTCACCATCAACTACCGACTAGGAGCGCTAGGTAACAACCTGTTCAATCGTTTCTTCACTTTGTTGACGTGTTACCTTTCCCTGACTAGCTTTGCTGGAAAAAATACCGGAAACGTATGTTGTCTGCGCCCGTACTTTATTATGGGGCACATTATTTTGGATTACGGGGCCCCGGAAACCTCACTCTGTCTTTGATTGATTAGAGATTGTGGCATTGAGGCAATATACGCGACCCCTTTTCCGCAGGCTTCCTATGCACAGCGGACATCAACTCGCCGGGCAACTACGGCGTCCTGGACCAGGCCATGGCCATCAACTGGGTGTACGACAACATCGACGCGTTCAACGGCGACCGCAAGTCCATCACGCTGTTCGGGCCGGGCGCGGGCGCGGCCAGCGCCGGGCTGCTCATGGTGGCGCCGAGGACCCGCGACCTGGTGACCCGCGTCATCGCGCAGAGCGGCTCGGCGCTGGCGGACTGGGGGCTCATCATCGACCAGTACCGCGCGCAGAACACGAGCCGCGTCTTCGGCAAGCTCATGGGCTGCAGCATCGACTCGTCCTGGAAGCTGGTGGACTGCCTGAGGCGCGGCCGCAGCGCGCTCGAGCTCGGCAACGCAGAGTTCCACGTGAGTGTGGGGATCCCCATTGGCATCGATGTGGAAGGGATGTCAGAGCGATTTCGGAAAACTGTGCATTTTTTCGTGTCGAATAGACCTTATTAGAACGGTTCTGAAATCGACACGTTTGGTAACTGATTCGATATCGCATCGCTTTCGATTTCTTACCGGGTGCGATAGTTCAATGTGTTGACTGCCCGAGATATTAGACCAGCACTTTTAGGCGCTAAAAAAGCTATGTTCGTCTTCAAAAGCGCTAGTTTATCGCCTTGTACTTGTATGTGGAGCTGTTCCTATAGGGGAGTGAATGCATGAGAGTATTTCATGACCATAACAGTTTCAACCAAATTCAGTTTAGGGAATTCTTTAAAGTGTTGAAGTTTTACCCTTGTCTGTTGTCTAATTAATCCGAACTAATATCTCTGTGCCGCAGCCGGCAGTGGGCCCGTTCCCGTGGGGACCCGTCTTCGATCGAAACTTCACGAAGCCCGGCGACAGTTGGTACCAGGGCTGGAAGGAACGAGACTGGCATTTCCTGAACCGAACTCCGGAAGAACTCATCAAACATGGTCAGTTCAACCGGGGATTGAGCTACATGAGTGGAGTCACGACTCAAGAAGCGGCATACATCATATGTGAGTGCTTTGTTCTACATTTTCTCTGTTGTTATTCTTATGTACATATTAATGGCATGAGTACTGTGTTTAACTTGCAGCACAAAATGAAAGTTTGGTATCTGTTCACTATGAAGTCAATGAAAGATTCATGGAACAGAAGATCAGAGAGATGGTTGCTCGGTTTAACTACACATTAAATCCTGGCGGGACTTATGAAGCAATTAAGTATATGTATACGTATCACCCAGATCCCAAAAATGTCACACATATCAGAGAACAGTACATACATGTGAGTTATGTGGTCCATATTGATGTACACAACGCGAGTAGCGTGAGTTATCATAATTTTATGTTAACAATTTATTTGTCCCACAGATGATGTCAGATTACTTATTTAGAGCTCCTAACGACAAATTAGTGAAACTTCTTGTTGAGAAAAATATTCCAGTATATATGTATGTTCTAAATACAACCGTGGAAGCTTTAAAACTTCCAGAGTGGAGAAAGTACCCCCATGATACAGAACATCTATTTCTCACTGGAGCCCCATTTATGGATGTTGGTGAGTTGCAGTTACTGACGAAAACAGTTTTTTTACACCTTTAAGATCTCTAAGTGCCCATCTTTCTTACAGAGTTCTTCCCAAAAGATGCTGGGTATGAACGCCTCATGTGGACTGAAAATGATCGTAACATGAGCCACTTTTTCATGAAAGCTTTCTCCGATTTCGCCCGATATGGGTAAGCTACTCTTGAAAGTTACTCTTGTATTAAAATGTGGATCTAATCCTAGATGTAATATGACTGATCACCAATTGTTTACGTGTTCTTTTAGGAACCCTACTCACAGTCAGATTCTGGGCCTGCACTTTGAATTAGCGAGGCCCGGTCAGCTAAAATATTTAAATCTGAATACAACATTTAATTCGTCAATATTTTTAAATTATCGGCAGACTGAGTGTGCGTTTTGGTCCGATTATCTTCCTACTGTAATTGGCCATTTGGTGCCTACATATCCACCAACAACTGAGGTATACAATACATATGAGCTAATCTTTTTCTTTTACCCGATAAGCTGTGTTTCGTGTGTGTCATACTTGTATTTCATTTCTTTGCCTTTTCTCTTTTAAGTGGTGGGAGCCTCGTCAACCTCTCCAGATAGCATTTTGGAGTATGTCAGCAATTTGCCTGTTGCTCATCGTAGCTGTAGTGGCCTGTTGTATTCTTTGGAGAAACGCCAAAAGGTACGTCACATTGCTTGTCTCCGTTGGTGCACCTGTACGGTATACACACATACTTAAATGTTTAATAAGGGGACTACATAGTACCAGGTTAAAGAGTAAAGGCTCTACTTGAAAACTGTTGGAAATGGGCGGTGAATGGGGAGAGTTTGACAATTTACACTTTCGGAAACATCAAACGCGTAATGGCAAGAAGGATTTTCACCCAAAGTGGGAACGTAATGAAATGACTTGACAGTTTTCATTATGGATCTCTCGGGAGGCAACTCCAACTTCTGTTTCCATTCTGGGCAGTTCTGAGATATGCCGTTAACGTGCCCTGTTAATTAGCAGACGGGTTAAGACTCGCCATTACTTTTAGTCATCGGTGGCAATGCGTCGTTCTTCCCACATGATGTCTATGGAAGGGAGCACATGTCTTGCATACAGTTTCACTGTTCTAATTTGGTTGATAAAGGTGGAGTAGGCCTACTTGTTTACAGGGTGGGTGTTCTACGCCGGATTTTTGTCTGTACCACATGCTGGCGTGCGGACGGATTTCATACTCACAAGGGGGCCATAAGGCGCTGCGGTGGGAGTTGGTAGGAAAGCCCACCCACACAGCTGCAAGCGGTACAATATAACCAGAAAGAAGGGTCCGGCCTAAAACACCCACCCTTTGTATCACCCGACATTCACGTCACGATCACATCTTTTTGTGTAAAGGGTACACACTAAATCCTTATGCACTTTGTTGGGCATAAAACTTTCAAAATTTTATACAGCCATAATATTACACACAATTTTGTGCATAATTATGTACAGTGTGTGCATTATTGTGCACTATTTGTCCACAATTATGCATACAAATTTGTGCATAAGTATGGCTCAGTAAAATTCTGCAAGTTTATGCAAAAGAAAATGCATAAGGGTTTGGTGGGTACTAAAAACGATTGTTAAGGATGTTATTTTCTTTATCTCATGTTTTATCATAAAAATCCCCTTCCTATTAATGTCATAAACTCTAACAAAAGGGAAGCTTATGCTTTACACATGAAGATAGTGCATTTCTGTGCTTTTTGCATGATGATAATTTTGTGGTTTCGACTTTGATTAATTATTACATGGGGATGTGTGTGTAGGTATTAAAAACATGTGTAATGCCAATTAGATCTACTTTTTCTTGATAACTGCTTAAAATATTTTTGATAAAAAAAATTATTTAATCCAGCCAATAACGTCTTAAACACATTTATAAATAGGAGCTCTGGTTTTATGACGGTCGTCTTCTGGCGCTAAGGTTGTGAGAAAGACATCGAGTCGATGTCGTTTCTAGCAGTCATTTCTGTCATTTCGTGTGTGCAGGTGTAACGGCACTTGAATGTACTCCTTTTCGGGGCTGCATCGAACAGCAATTTTAATACAAAGCTCGCGTAAACGCCACACTTAAACAGTAGTAGGCAACCACTCACGGGCTACGAAGCCGTGCTTCCTTCGTGAAGGTTTCGCGAACATTAACGGTTTGCCAACCCTTTTCGGCTAAGAAGTCGTCCAGAAAGTGCTTTTCGCCCGCTTTTTTTTACTCGTTCTTTACCATCCCACTCCACCTTCGTGATGGTAGGAAGAGCGAGTATTGCTCTCGGGGCGGTGTCCCCGTTTCCCTAGTATAGAGATTTCCTCCGCTAATGACAGGCGCTCGGCGCCTGCGAGACTCAGGGTAGGCCGAGCCGCAGTACACGCATGCACTGCAGACAAGATGTTGCCTACCTATCAGGCGCTATGAGAGCGTGGACAAGCTGCACTTCGTTGGTTCCAAACAACGGATGTACTTTCTGGATGATTTTTAACTCGTTTCTTCTTCCTCATGCCAGTTCAAATATTGGGGATCAGGAAAATTTCACGACTGTACCAAGATGTCACTGTCACAGCCCCCGACCGCTTTGCCTACCAACTTGGCGTACACTGTAGTAACATTATTTGTTTCAAACTCTGAGTTGCGTCTAAATTTACCATCGGTTTGAACCGTTTAGTTGATTTATTACATCGAATGCCGTGACAGCCTGCACACTATAAATCTGTATGATACATATTTTTATCACAATTCCTTCTATCATTCTTTCATGATGCATAGTGATCTTGATTTTGTGAAGAATCAGAAGGGCCTTAGGTAAGGCAAGGGACCTTTCATATCGATTTGTTTTGCTTGGTTTTAATTTATTTTTTGCTACACGCTTGTCCATACCAGTATTCCACAGAATGAAGTGGACATGTAATCCACGTAAGTGTCGCCATTTTGTTCCACCTGGGGGAAAAGGTGGTGTGGCATTGCCTTTCTCTCACCGTATGCTTTCATCCCCTAAATGCATTGCATAACCGAGCTATGGTGACATAGCCAATAGACCATTGCACCCTTGTGCGATTCGACACATCGAAGAGTCAAAATTAAAGTCAGTGTGAGCGGAAGAAAGAACGCTGCTGACGGATCACTATGGTGATACGTATATGACACGTATAACACCTTAAACGCCAAGAAACGTTCCTTTAGCCCTGCTAGAAATTGAAAGTCGACTCAACATTGCATCGACACTTAAGTTACGTTAAACTACGGGCCATATATTAATGGTCAGATCAACGTTGGTTAACAACCGACGATGATTTCCTAACTTGGCAGATACGCCCGACTTCCGACAATTTTTACTCTTCAAATTGTAGAACTGTGCCCGGCTAAAATGGTCTATTTTGTAACACTGCTTTTCTGGGACCAACAACTTTACTAACAATTCACCGTCATCTCTAGTGAAATCGGATGCAAAATTACACATACTCAATGTGACTGTTTTAAATGTTGCTTTTGTAAATCACGCAATAACATTTTGTGCACAATTTTAAGAAAATGCTTTGCTACTTTAATCTGCGATGCGTGTATATGGTGCTTTTGTCGGCCTTAGCTTTCTAGGTAGACCAACCCAAAAGTACAATCATGACATTCTGTTAACGCACATTCTGTTGCTTCTTTTCTTATCAGCTTTGTTAAGTTCAAGCCGGGTTTGCGATGGTCTACTTTGCTTTCGAAGTAGAACATTTTTCACCTTTTGATGATGCCCAACCGCGTCCCACGCCCGGCTCTACCATTCGTAATTTTACTGCACCGAATGCACGTGTGCGGATGGGTTGCGTACTTACTCGGGCAGTTTGGCGCCATGGTCAGAGATGATAGGCAAACAAACCCGCACACATTCGTGAGGCACAATATATCTTCGGAAGTTGGCGGGAAGAATCAGCCACCTGGTATGACAAGTAGACGGTTTTAAATGTACAAATAAGGTTTCACATTTTAATAAGTAGGGACTGCAGATCCACTTGGTGTGAAACCTTTGCTGTGCAGTTACGGCCGCCTACTTATAGAAGATTTCGTTGTGCGGTGTAGCTTTTGGAACAAGTTTTCAATCCGCTTCGTACTCCCATCTCAACTTTTTACATGTTATTTACGGAAAAGGCGGTACCCCATCGTAAACCTGGCTATGGTGTTTAGGAACTGTCTGTGTGTCTGCAGAGTTTCATTAATAAGTCATCACTGGTGTGTTGCAGGCAACAAGATCGGTACTACAGTGGAGATCTTTTAATGATGAGGGACGAATCCGAAATCACCGGTATTGGCAATGCTTCTGAAAATCCAAGTCACCTTTACGAGTATCGGGATACCCCGACCATCGCTGAAAAACAACCACAGCTTAAAGTGCAGATGCACTCACGTCCTGTACCCCCAGAGCCCACCAAGACATCCTCGGTAAAGACTGGGAGCAACCAGTCGTTAAAGTCCTTGAAGGACTCAGTGAACGGTTTCCCAGCAGGTGAGCCAAGGGTAGAAACAAGACCTCCCTTACCACAGCCGGCAGCGGCGGTCCCTGTGCCCACCACAAGACCGCGAGCGACTCTCAGTCGGACTCATTTAGAAGGCGGCATCCCCCAGACGGAGGTGTAAAACGCCACCCGTTGTAAACCTCGTTTACGCCACATTCGAATGTTACCTGATAAAATTTGCTAATCTTGCGAATTTTATAATTAAGTCATTATTTATGAGAAAGTGTGTATGTGATTAAAACTTGTTAGTTAGTAAATTCCTATTATCACACATCGGCTATTCAATCTTAAATGTTTTAATTCAAAATTATTCTTGTTAATCTGTTTACTTATCAGTGTATGTGTGAGATTTGTACAATATTTGTACTCTTTTCAAATTGACGCTCATTCAATTGATTTTATTGGGTACCAATGTAAGTATTCTGTAAATAATTGTGCTTTATGACGAAAGTTTATCACTGCCACCTGCATTGATCTCCAGCCTACTCATATCTTATCATGTAGCCTATGTGTAAATTATGTAATCATAAGAAATCCCCCCCCCCTCTTCTTTTTAAGGAAAAAGGTGGTTGTTAGTTTTTTTCCCGGATTTCTAATAGCACACCCAGTTCATTCCATTATCGATTCTAGCTCAGTCTGTCGAATTCACTTGATGAATGCGATATAATTTTATACGTTATCTCCTGCTGGACTCTAATAAATATTGTGGACAATATTGAGAGTGATGGTGACAAGTGCGTTTAATCAGTATGCTCTATGGTTGTGCCATAAATAATTGCCTTTCCCCTCAAACTAGTACATGATACGCGTAAAAAATAGTCAAGGTGGGGTAATTGTATTTCTTTAAACTTCTTGTCACATCTACATATAAATGATGCATAAAAGTGCCAGTCATACTGGTACTTCTTACCTTACTATCATCTTTGCCTGAGTCATGCGTGCTTTAATTAGACAACCGACTGTCAATACACTAGGGAATGTTAAGGGGATTTGTTTAGACAATTTGTTCCCAGTATTTAATTGTATTATAAAATATTTTTTTACATTATATTTGTATTGTATGAGTTTTTGATTGTTATATGTGCTCTTTGTCCCTGTCTTATGCCGTCCAACCGTGTCTTTTGCTGTGTATTTTCATGTATTTGTATTCTGTGTATTATATTTTTAGCTTATAAGTTAATAATGTCCGTATTGTGATAGGATTTTTGTATTATTTTGCGTACGCACGCGTGTTTGTGCTGCTCATATACCTATATAACTCTCATATCGTTTGGGAAATTTATCTTCAGCAGAAATCTGATAAAATTGACTGACTTTGGAGTCAATTTGTGATGACTTGAATTTTATGGCCTGAATTGTATTCGTACATAAATTTAATGTTGTTTGTTTTATTTATTTTCTGAGTTGTAATTGAAATATGTATATTTTATGACACATTTGTTCGATAGTCGTTTGTATGATAAACATTGTAAAATCTATTAGATACAAAATTTCCTGCACTCTCTCTTATTGGAGTGTGTGGGCCCAAGTAATTAAAACATATAAATGAATTCCATCCCTGATTAACCCCCTTCTATCACCACGACAAAATGCTGTTTATGCCATACGTATGCTACTGATCATTTTCTCGCGCAACACATGAGGGTACCTGGGGGGTCTGGGGCAGAGAACCGCTTTATCCGGAATCCGTGTAGCCTGGCTCCAAACCAGCCAAAAAATTCTCCGGTGAGTCCCAGATCTATGGGTAAGTGAGACTGCCAGCCGCCAGCCATATTGGCTCGCTGGACGCTGATATTGATCTTGCAGTCAGGATGTAGAGGCCCGACTGGAGGGCGCCTTGTAGGTTGGCAACCGATTGGCACTCAGCGCTCGGGTGTGCGGCGGGACTGCCTCTGTGCGCCTGCGAGTGGGAGCACTGTTAAAGTCTTACGAAGAAAAATGCCAAATCCTTTGTAATACGAAGGATTTGGACGCTTGGTAGGGAGAAAATCCTTCGTAGGTACGAAGCATTTGGCATTTTGCTTCGTAAGACTTTAACTGTGAGGAGAACATGTGTGGAAAGTGTATGCTTGCCGGATCCCTGCTTTGTGAGTCTGAAATTTGTCGAAATTGCACTCACCCTCAATCATTACCCCACCCCCATCATAGACCCATCAGGTTTGGTGACTTTTATAAAATCAGCAATTCTGTTTGAAAAACTAGTAAAGGAGAGACATTTTCACATATATGTATTTTTCAGAAAATAATGCTTAGAAAAAAGAAACATAACAGTGCTTAAAAATCGTTCGCCCAGCACCGTTTGTCTGGTCGGTCTGGGCTGAAAGACACCTTGGCAGCAACTTACGTACGCAGACATTGATCGAGAAAAGTCTTTGTCAGTCCGAGCGCGATATTTGAGGTGTCCGAGATTGCTTGTAGGCGACCTTCCTCTCTAGGGGCGTCCTCTACGACTTCAGTCAATGGCATATTTACTTTGTACAATGCTTATAAATAAAATGGTAACACAAAGCACGCAAACACACACACACACACACATGCACGCACACACACAGACACACAGGACGCATCATTCCCCGAAGTAGTTATAGTACAAAAATAATATTACATCATGCCTGGAATGTGAGCCCCGTGCCGGCCAGATTCGTCTCTGTCCACGCGTCGAACTTGGCCACGAGCGCGTCCGACATGTAGTTCTTCCAGTCGCCCACCTCGCCCTTCCTGATGAACGCCAGGTCGTCGGATCTGTCCGCGTCCGCCACGGAGTCCCGGCCGCGACGCTTGGCCATGACTTGCTCCAGGTTGACGGCCGGGTTGTTCTTCATGTTGTGGAAGCTGAGGTAGTCGGCCAGCTTCAGCACGTCGTCCTCCGACAGCTGCTTGTTGAGGAACAGGGCTGTCCGCCTGATGGTCGCGGGGAGGTCCTGAAACAAAATGAGCAAACAGAAACAACAGTTGAGTTCATGTTCGGGACTGAACTAAATTGCATGCTTCTAATTGTTGCTCGGAATATACTTTTGCTGTTACCTTTTTCAGGTCTTCATATTTAAGGAAGAGTATATTCGGTTCGTGCCTTTTCTCCCAGAAACCCAAAATATGGCTCCACATTGGACCGACTGGTGCTAAGTGCATGGAAAAGAAGGGAGAAAAAGTATTATTTTTATGTATTATTTTTTTACTGACACAGACAAGCGATTCAAGCATCGTTTAAGTCATTCAAATCCATTCGTTCACCTTTGTCCTGCAGAAACAGCTCGGCGAACTCCTCAAACGACCCCTTCATGTTGTATATGAGCCGGCAGTGGTGGTAGTAGGACACGCACATGTCCTTCGGGTCACGAGCGACGTAAACAACCTGTCGGACGAAAAACTCAAATTGTAGCCTATATACAAAATTACAATTTACATTTATAGATTACTGTGACTACTGCCACATCTGCTTTTGTGAGCAGTAATAAGTACTTAGCGATATTTTTCGAAAAGTTCAAGTTTTTCGGACAGCGCCTCTCCGTACCCTGGGTTTGACGATGGCCATCTGCTCCGGCAGCAAGTCCCACGGCAAGTGGCTCTTGATGTACCTCGGCGACGCCATGTTCTCCACCATCTCCACCGTGTCGCCCAGCTCCTTGGCGAAGTCCTCGTCGGCGTCCAGCAGCGCAGTGAGTCTAGATGCACACGGGAAACGCACTGATGAACCAAGTGCGCCACTACCAAATTGAACGCTTGTATGTGTACTATTTCTATGCAGTTGCACACTTGCAAGTATAAAGCAGTTCCATACTTGGTTTATCAGTGTGGTTTGAAAGTGCAATTTGTTTTAAGATTATCATTTTAAGAAACACATTTTGTTGTGGACCAGCACATCGCTTGTCACAGCAAGTGACGCGCTTTCAAACGTCGCTTCTTCGGGGACGATCTTGTAGTACTCACTCTATCCTCGGCGTGCGGAACTGCTGGATGAGCCGCTTGGCGCGGTCGAAGTCCAGGTCGTTGCCGATGCACCACACCATCTCCTGCGTCCACGTGCTGCCGGTCCGCGGGTACGACACGACCCATACGTCGTCCTCGCTCAGGCGCAGCCCCCGGATGCGGTCGCCGATGTCCTGGTAGCGCGGCGGCATGATGACGCGCCCGGGGTTCACCTCGATCAGGCAGTCCTTGGCGCCGAACAGGCTGTCCAGCCGCTCCGCCACGGCCGAGTCCAGCGGCTCGTAGGTCAGCCCCATCCTGGAACTGCACTGGTGTGTGAATGCCCACTCGTGCACTTGTAGGTGTGTGAATGCCCATTCGTACACATGTAGGTGTCCGAATGCCCATTCGTACACTAGTAGATGTGTAAATGCCCATTCGTACTCTAGTAGATGTGTGAATGCCCATTCGTACACATGTAGGTGTCCGAATGCCCATTCGTACACTAGTAGGTGTAAATGCCCATTCGTACTCTAGTAGATGTGTGAATGCCCATTCGTACACATGTAGGTGTCCAAATGCCCATTCGTACACTTGCAGGTGTGTGGATGCCCATTCGTACACTTTTAGGTCTGTGAATGCCCATATTTTTTGTATTTTTGGTGTGCGGTCGCGTTTGCTCCCACACGAGTCGTTAACGACAGGCGCGACGTGCCGGTGTCGTCACCTCGCCCGAGCAGCTCTATCGACTGCCGCGCCGCGGTCAAAGTTAGACCGACCAAAAATCAATACAACACGCGTGAACATTCCATGTGACCCGCGGCGTTTTCAGACTGTATGGACCCATGAGAGCGCCGTGCGTTTGTGTATGGGAAAGGGGGGCGTGGGAGGGAGTCCGGTCCGAGGACGCACACATAACTGAACTGGGGGGTTGCGCAACAGGCGGGGCGGGGGGCGGGCCGGGCTGCTAGCTGCTGCTCCCGGAGACGGACGTGCCCAGTGGCTGGTGGGGTGGAGGGGTGCAGCTGCACCTGCGTGGAGATGAACGTCGCCAAAGCCGCGAGGGTCGGCGGCGTGGCGTGGGGTGTGTTTCACAGTGACGAGACGCGATCTCAGGGTGCACTCACACACTCACACGCGGGCTACAAGCACAAGCACGGCGTTCCTTCGGAGTCTCGGAAGTAGGACCGCAGAAGGCGTAAACAAGTTCAAAAGAACAAAGTTTTATTTACGTATCAAAAACCCGAATCAACGAGAATGCAGACATGTAGAGAATGTAGACAAGTAGACGACGATTATGGGGTTTTCGAACACGCAGTAAGTCGCCGTAACATTGTTCACTACTTTGTCGAGATTTCGGAAGGGATGTGAACAGCTCGATATTTTGTCCGATGCATAACTAACTACTCACTCCCGGCGTCAAAGCGCGCGAAGGGCCGAAGGGCGGATGTCCCCGTTGGAGAGGTGGCCGTAGTTGTGCTGCTCGGTGCAGTGGCGTACCTGCTGTTCTGCTTGCTCGGGTCGCTCGCTGCGAGGCTCGCTGGTCCGCACGCCCTGGAGCCTGGCTCTGGAGCACACTGGGGCCACTGCCGGCCTGCGCTGGAGCCGACAACTTTCTAGAGGACCGCCTTCCCCGGATCACGTCGGCTCCTTCTTCCTCCGCCTCTCTCTCTCTCTCCCCTCTCTCTCCTCTCTCTCTCTCTCTCTCTCTCTCTCTCTCTCTCTCTCTCTCTCTCTCTCTCTCTCTCTCTCTCTCTCTCTCTCCCTCTCTCGCGCACTCTCCCCCTCTCTCTTTCTCTCTTGCTACATGGTGGAGAAAGCAGCCGGTCCGATCGGCCGCCGCCCCCACTCTCTGCCTGCACTTCCCTCTCCCTCCCCACCGTACCTCCGGAACCGTGGCAGTTGGGTGGCCGACTCGTTGGGCGCAAAACTGTTCCGGTCATTCAGTAGTCTACACCGGTAGAGTCCTAGAGGGGGTGTTTTTCCCTTTACAAAAATAAAAATCAGTGCAGTGGAAACGCAAGTGTGTGAATGTCGCACACTTGTAGGTGTGTGAATATCCATTCGTACACTTAGGGGGGTAAACGTGTGAATTTTCTAGGAAAAATTTACTCCTTTACCCATCTAAGTGTACGAATGAATATTCACATACCTAAAAGTGAGCGATATTCACACACTTACGTTTCCAGTGTGAACAGCCTTAGAGAAATCTGGAAAAAAAATAAAGAAAAAATCAGAAAGAATCAGAGTTAAAATCGTTTTCTTAAAAAAAAACAAAAAAAAAAACTCAGAAATAGAAAAGTTGGTGTCTGCTTGAATTTATAGTGCGGTCTGCACCGTGGTCGATCGAGGCATGGCTAGGCATGCCTACTTCGTAGGTGGCCCAGGCAAGAATGTGTCAATACCACGTGTTTCCCTGTTGCTGCGTGGCGCTGGAACTCCCCTTCTTTTATTGCTTTTGAAAAAAGAACCACGCGCCCCACAATAAAAGGGCTCAACTCAGCCTCGAGCTGTCAGCATAGGGCGCCGGGCGAACACCACGCCTTTAGCACCCCCCCCCCTCTCCCCCCTAACTACGCCTCGTCGCGGGTCGCTTTGGGGGTGGTCGGGAG